CGATGGTGGGCCGGCCGGGCGGCGGGGAGCCGCACGGGCCTCGCTGTCGGGGCCAGGCAGGGGCGGGGGGAGAAGTGGAGCAGATTCACCCGCGGCGGCTTCCTCCTCTACGTGGAGCTCCTCCCCCCCGCGAGTCCCCGCTTCTTGTACATCCTATTCATCATGGCAGCAGCTCCACAGGTGCTTCTGTCTCTGTCCTGTTCACACTGGTCCTCCTCCTTCATCTGGATTGCCAGCCAATTGATATGAAGATCAACAGGGCTTTTGGATCCTTAGTGAGCTCATTTCAGCATGCCCAGGAACATGACCTCCTCCAACTGGAAATTCTTCAAATCTTTTAAATCCCACATGGTCCATAATGGGGAATGCTGAAGACAAATTACTTTTAGGGGAATATAACCCAGGTTTTTTTTTTAATGTGCTAGTTCAAACCAGAATGACTTGCTTGAGGATTTTGAAAACTGTGTTTTGTCTCTGTCTTCATCCCATGATGACCCCATCTAGTTCAGCTGGCCGGCAGGGATGAGCATGGGCCATGCACTGCGCAGAGCTGGCTTTCCACATTGAAAAAGGCTGTCATGGGGCATCCACACTCTCCCCATGCTCTGATCCTGGCAGCTACCTGGCCCTCTCATTTGCTAGCGTGACCTCAAGGCGAAAGGGGAGGAGAGTTTGCTGCCACCCAAGTTGTCCTCCTCTTGCTGACTCCCATGCTGAGCTGCTTGGAGCAGGCTCCTCATCAGCTACTTTCTGGCCTCCATAAAATAAGAAGTGCATATCATGCATGCTCTCTTTGGACCTCCACCTTGGGATCTTGCCAACCCTCACTAGTGGTAACCTGTAGCCTCCTTGATCACCTCTCAATGGATGAGCTTGCAAGTTTCTCTCCTGCCCTGAGCATCCACCTTTCAGGGATGGGTAAGTCCTTAGATAGAGGGGATGGCCCAGAATGAAACTTCACCTGCCCATCTGCAAGACACTGGGCACTGAGTGACTCACCTTGGGTGTGCCAGCAGTTACTGTCTGGATGGATAAGCTGGCAGGCTGTGAATTGCCTGGGAGAGACGGCAACGGGGTACAGCTAGAACATACCATCATTCTTTGTTCATGTAAACACAGTTTTGTAGCATCAGGATCAACCCCACCAAGGGCTTTCCAGACAATCAGTGTTTAGTTTTAGACATAGATCAAGATGGGTAGTCATGTTAGTCTGTCTGTAGCAGTAGAAAAGAGCAAGAGTCCATTAGCACCTTAAAGACTAACAAAATTTGTGGCAGGGTGGGAGCTTTTTGTGAGTCATTGCTCACGATCTGAAGATTGTCTGGAAAGCCCTCAGTGGGGTTGTTAGTCTTTAAGGTGCTATTGGACTCTTGCTCTTTTCTTCTAGTTTTTAGATGTGTTACAGCATTTGTTATGCATAACCGTCCTCTCAACAGGGCTGCCGTTGCAGAAATATTTCTATCTTCTCACTATTCAAATAGCAATGTTCTCTCGCTGGGAATCCTGATCCCTTCCCTTGCTATTGTACAAGTTGTGTAGAACGTAATAATCTATTGGGTAGTTCCCTTGCCTTCCCTCATCCAGCCCTATTTAGCGTACGCATGCCCATTACTGATATGGAGCCGGTGTGGTGCAGTGGTTAGAGTGTCTGACTAGGATCTCGGAGACCCAGGTTCAAATCTCCACGCTGCCATGGAAGCTCGCTGGGCGATCCTCACCACTCTCTCGGCCTAACTTGCCTTGTAGGTTGGTGGTTGCGAGAACAAAATAGAGGAGAGAGAATGACATCGTAAGCCACTTTGGGTCCCTATTAGGGAGAAAAGCAGGGTAAATATAAATGGGTTGAGAACAACTACCATATTAGCATTAAAAACTAGATTTAAAAAAATCTGAGGAAGTGTTGTATTTTGTATGAACTCTTCAGATTTGGAAGAGAGAAGGAGTAAGCCCAGATTTAGGTAAAGGGGCAGAAAGCTACCTCTTTCTCATTCTGTGTAGTCTCCGGTCTAGTCGAGCGAGATGTTCAACAGGAGGGGATGGATAGATTTCAATGCTGAATCTCACCTCTCTTCTTCTATATAGGGTGTTGATGGTGTTCCTGGTGAGAAAGGTGACATGGGGGATCCTGGACTTCCAGTGAGTATGGCAAGCATGAGTTGAGGGGCGTAATCTCTCAATGCCCTCCACACACTGTTGTTGATTGTGTTTTGGTTTTTTTATGGCCAAAGTGGAACTGTATACAGTTAAAACAGATGTAGAGTGTCACTACATTATAGATTTCAGCTGGTTTAGCTATCATTCCCTTTCCCAGGGAACCCTGAAAACTGTAGTTCTAAGGCATTGATTTCCAACATAATGCATCTATGGGTGACATGGTACCCAATGCTGTGTTTCTTGGGGCCCACTTCCTTCTTCTCCAAAGTGAAGTGCTGGTCTTGACTTTCCTGCACCTGAAAACAGAAGCCAAGAGCTATCTTATCTGTATCTACAGGAAGCACCCATTCAGGGAACAGTTTCGACATCACAGGAAGACAGTTGAGTTGGAAACTTCCAAAATTTTGTGACTGGCCTCAGCCCCGGTGGCAGCCATTTTGTGTTTAGCTGTACCACCCAAGGCAACATTCTCTTTTTTCCAAATTCCAGAAGTGCTCATTTCCTAACAAAGTTAGGGACTTCTATCCTTGAGAGCCAGTGTGGTATAATGGTTAGCGTGTCAGACTAGGATCTGGGAAACCAAGGTTTGAATCCACACTCTGCTGTGGAAGCTTGCTGAGTAAGCTTGGGGCAGTCACATATTCTCAGCATATCCTACCTCAAAGGGTTGTTGTGAGGATAAAATAGAGGAGAGGAGAATGATGTAAGGTGGAGTACAAATGAAGTAAATCAATAAAGGGAAATAACTAAACATAACACTAATTCTTAGTGATTTTGTGTGGTGAAATGACTTCACCATACACATTTTAATATGTTATAGATTGGGGTCCCCAACCTTTTTACACCTGTGGGCACCTCTGCAATTCTAACACAGGGTGGAGGGCCCAACCACAAAACGACTGCTGCCGAAGGTGGAGCAAACCACAAAAGGGTTGTCATGGGAAGCAGAGCCATGCACATGAACGAACACATGGGAAGCCCAAGTACAGGGGGAAAGGGGGATAATTTTTAAAAGATACTGGGGAATAGGAGTGAGAGAGAATAAAACTAACACAGTAGTGGCACCTGTCAATGAAACACCATAATTTCAGTCTTCACAGCCAATCAGCTCCAGTGGCCAGTTAGAAACCTTGCTTGGTGGGCGGCATTGGGACCATGGGCACCATGTTCGGGAAGTTCACGTTTAGCTCTTTAATATATACGTGAAGGAGGAACACATAGACTTGTGTAGACATTTAAAATAATGTGCTCTCTGGTTTATTTTTAGGGACCCCCGGGAGCTTCTGGGGAGCCAGGTCCTCATGGACCACCAGGGAAGAGGGTAAGTTTCCGTTTCAAGGGAGGAGGAGATCTACAACACAGCACCTTCTTTTTCGGCCCCGGCCCCAGCCTGCTGGAACATGCTCCTGATTGAGATCAGGGCCCTGCGGGAGCTGTTACAGTTTCACAGGCCCTGCAAAACAGAGCTGTTCCACCAGGCCTTTGGCTGAGGCCGTGGGCATCTACTAGCTGGCCTCCCTATTGCTGCTGC